CGCTCATCGAACATGTTGTTCATTCGCAGCCATACTAAGACGTAATGCGTACATGAACCGATTGCTTCCCATAAGAAATTCCAGAAAGTAGAAAAATTAAAGAAAAAAATGAAAAGGGGTGCAACATGAGGACTTCCCAGGAGGTCACCCATCCTAGTACTACTCTCGGCGAAGCACGTTTAACGTGTGGAGTTCTGATGGGATCCGGTGCATTAGTGCTGGTATGATCGCACCCATTGGTCTTTGCATGATAAATTTATACAAGCCACATCTTCATTTGGATCCGGTGCTATTGTTGACCAACATATGATCGTATACGTCATACGTACTAAGACTTTAATACTTACTTCAGCCGATGACTACCCAAAAAGTTTTCGAAAGAAGAAGAAAACTTTATTTCTCTTTGGAAACCTTACCGAGCGAACATTAAACGGCCTTTGTATCCAGGTTGTTCACGTGCCGTTCATCGAACTATGTTGTTCATTCGCAGACCAATACGTAAGACGTAATGCTTACATGAACCGATTGCTTCCCATAGAAATTCCGAAAGTAGAAGAAATTAAAGAAAAAAATGAAAAATGGGTGCAACTCGAGGACTTCCCTGGAGGTCACCCATCCTAGTACCACTCACGCCCAACCACGCTTAACTGCGGAGTTCTGATGGGATCCGGTGCATTAGTGCTGGTATGATCGNACCCATTGGCTTTAGCATGNTAAATCTATACAAGCCACAATCTCATTGGATCCCGGTGCATTGTTAGCCAACATATGATCGTATACGTCATACGTACTAAGACTTAATACTTACTTCAATCGATGAACTACCCAAAAAGTTTTCGAAAGAAGAAGAAAAATTTATTTCTCTTTGGAAACCTTACCGACCGAACATAAACGGCCTTTGATCCAGCTTGTTCACGTGCCGTTCATCGAACATGTGTTCATTCGCAGCCCATACTAAGACGTAATGCTTACATGAACCGATTGACTTCCCATAAGAAATTCCGAAAAGTAGAAGAAAATTAAAGAAAAAAAAATGAAAAAGGGGTGCAACACGACGGATTCCCCAGGAGGTCACCCAACCTAGTACTACTCTACGCCCAAGCACGCTTCACTGCAGAGTTCTGATGAGATCCGGTGCATTAGGGACTGGTATGATCGCACCCATTGGTCTTTGCATGATAAATCTATACAAGCCACATCTCATTGAATCTGGTGCATTGTT